TATCAAAATTCAAATATGTCCTCCCAATTGTGCCACGCATTATAGCAATGCTGAGAACTCAATTGGCTTGCTATTCAACAAATTACAATCCAACAAAAGAACCATAGCAATCAATACAGCCAATGCTCTTAATATCAAATTCGTCAATCAATTTTTAAAGTACAATAGCAATGAAAAACTCACTTGGTTTCAGCTTATTTCACATATGGGCATTGTGCGGTGTGAACCTGAACCCAGTTGATTCAAGGACTTTTGCAATCCAGATGATCTCCTTGGCTCCCATGGCCCAATACCCAACCCCAAACCATCCTTCTGGTATATACATAGCCTCAGTTGTTGTGTCAAAATATACAAGAAACATTACAATATATGTGAGAGAACTAATCTTAAAGGGAAACACTATATAATAGAATCAAACAATAACTTATCCAGATATAGAGGATGTTCAATGGGAACCATTATTGCAGGCCTCTACACAATAACCTTTACAAGTACATCTGTATCCTCCTTGTGGGTATTGTCCAATCCTAACAAACCAACTGAATATCGTCTAAGCAATATAATCAGCGAATTGTCTAACACACCTCAAAGAGGTGAAAGCATTTTCAATCTGTCGACAATTTTCTAACCTCCTCTCCCATTTCAACACTTCAAAGTATTGGATTTCATCAATACTATTACCTTCAACTCCACCAAGGCAAAGTCATCACAAATGATTTCAGAATTGATTTAACCAATCCAGGCCACCCATCAGGTGACCTCTTGTACGTCCTCTTTGACATTCTTCACTGGTGTCCACTAAATAACACAATAGAAATCAGAAACAACAAGAAATACTCCAAAATACTTCCAGTTACCCAAGAAGAATGACCAAGATCAACTTTGCACCAATAATCTTAAGAATTAATCAGTTAATCGAAGACAAGTCAATCCAAATTACATATGCCAAACCAAAGTCCAATCCAAAACCTAATGACTCTATCCAGTGGAACAATCCATTACTTCACTTTCCAGAAAGCCCACTAATTAACAATTAACAACTTGGCAACAGTGTTAGATAGTGCAAGAAGATCTTAAGCATTACTAAAACATATATAATCTGTGAAAGCATGTCAATTTTAAAAACATTTAACTCCTTCCACAACTCCTATGGCCTCAAAATCATCAACAAATCCAACAGGAATATTAGAAATACCAAATTCAACAAATACAGTGACCTAATTGCCTTCAGGATCAAATTATTGTTAGGAACACTTCCCACAAGGAAAAACCTGCATGAATTGTATCCTGAACAATATCCAGACCCTTATTGTCCTAGGTGTGGCCTCAGTACTGAAGATATTCAACATGTTTTTAAGTGTCTGTCAGTAGCAGAAAACATCAAGCAAATTATTTCCAATATCAATATCATTTTTCACCCAGAGGATGATCACAAAACAATCTCGCGTGCATGGCAACTAGTGAAGTTGGCATGTGGCATTACAGACAATATTTTTTCTACATCAAATCAATCCAATTGGATCAAAGCATCAACTGAAACCCTAGTACAACTTTATAAATTAATCTGGATATCCGATGCAGCACAGCCAACACTTCTCCTACTACTGGTATCAAATGGAACAAGAATCAGCACAACACCTCAATAAAAAAGAAAAACAACCAGAACATCAACAAACCTGATACATCTAAAAACTCCTCCTTCACCATCCTCAAAGATTTAACCATCACCGATCTACCAACTGTAGTAGCAGACTTCTATATCCAAAGCAAATATAACTTTTTCAAATGTATTTCTAAATTAATAACCGATTACTTTAACTTCCTTTTACAAAATGTTGAGTAGGTATTCATAGCTGCTTGGAGCCACTTGACAAGATATATTGTTTTAAAATTTATTTTCAGTACTAGTTAAACAGTTACTATAGGCAAGCTAGCATTTAACTCATTGTCTTGTTACACATGAGAGATGTTGTTTCTTTCACAATATATATATATCATTATACAAATTAAATAAAGAGATGATGTTTACCTACAAAAAAAAAAATAATAAAAAAATAAAAATTGAAAAAGTCCCAAGAAAAAAGTATAAAGAAGTAATTGCTACAAGATTTTCCTTATATAATTCAAGAAAAAAGCAAGGCTCTCAAACTTGCTTTTTCCTGATTAGAGATCTGATCCCAATATACCAGTATATTTCTTTAGTTTCTTTAAAATTCTTATAGAAAAAATAAAGAAAATGTAAAGAACTTTTGAATAGTGAAAGGCAAAAAAAATATTGTATGCTAGAAAGAGTTTTTTTTTTTTTAGCTATTATATTAATATAAATTTCATAAATATATTATATATTGAAATAAACTATTTTTGTTAATTCTTTAACTAATTCAAAAAATAGATGTTCTCAAAATTTTTTATTTTTTGATAATAAAGTTTATATATTTTTCTTAATACTTTACTTAATAAAGATTAATATCTTTCCTGTAGTTTTAATAATCAGATTCTTATAGACTTACATAATATTAGAAAACTATTAAAAATCATAGTGAGATATATTTCACATATTAAATTTAATATAAATCTGAAAATTAAAATTAAATCAAATTAAATTATTAAATTCTTGATTTCTCTTACTTGTTTATTTTCTTTTTCAAAAAACTTTATATATTTTAATAACAAATCAAATAAAACTTTATTTATTTAATTTATAGCAAGAAAACTTTATTGGAAAGAAAAAACTTGTCAAAAAAAACACCCTTTACTATATTTACTTTAGGTCTAAACTCTAGAAAATAAATAACTAGTAAATATATTTCTTAAGCTTTATAAGAACCTTAGGTCTTATAAGTAAATACCTTTAACTGAGATGAGTAAATAAGTTAGTAAAGCTAACTCTTTTAGATTTATAAATTTTTTTTATCAATTATATATATCTATATAATATTTTCAAGTGTATTAAAATTTTTTTTGGTTTTTCTGAAAAATTTTATTTATTTTAATTTAATCCTAAATTTTTTGTTATATCAGAAATTCTGATTGGCAATTGGCTAAAATCTTGAATTAGTTAATCGACATATAAAAAAAATATAAACAAAATATATATTTCTCATATGTTTTATATCATACTATACTAAAATTAATGATGCAATAGAATATAGAAAAAGAGCAAGACATTGAAATATCCTTTTATTAAAAATAATTTGAAGTTCTTTACTTTTCTATTGTATTGATTTTTTTTTTTAAGATCAAAAAAAGTTTTTATTAGACTGATAATTAATATAAAGATTTTTTATCTACTAGTATAAACTTTTCTTTCTCTCTTTCTTTTAAAAAAAAACAAAAACTTTTTATTCTTAGAATCACAATAGTTATGTTGGAATAACAGTTATAAATATAAGCTGATAATGATTTTTTAGTTTAAATTATTATATAGTCTTGCTAAAAAAAAAACAATTTTATTATTTCCTATAATTTTACTTTAAGAGTTGAAAGAATTTAGAAAGTCTAAAATAGTTAATACTATATATGTTTTTATATTATTATATAAAAAAATTTAATCAATAATATGATTCTGAATTAAATATATTTCTAATTATTTACTATATATTACTTAGTAATTCTACTATAATATGAATTTTGTAATATTTGAATTAAATTCTATAACATATAGAATTAATATTATGCAGTGATAGGATACTAGCTTATGAATCAACTTTTTTGTAGTAAAATAATTAATAAATAGCTAGGTTATATAGGCAACATAATAGGCTTGATATTAAGGATTCAAGAATTATATATAAATTTATTAGAATTATTGATAGGTGTGCTGCAGCTTATATGAATATTTAGCTATAATATAAATTATATTGCTATATTCTGTTTAAAAGAATTAATAAACACTATGGTTTACAGTCTGATTAGAAGTAAAAAAAATAAATATTATATATTTTAAAATTATTATTGATAATATATTTAATTAATTTTAATTTAATTTTAAAATTCAATAGGTTAAAATATTTAAAATTAAATAATTTACATTAAAAAAATATTTTTATCTAATTATTAATTTTAATCAGATTATTTATCTATAATTTGAAATTTTATCTAAATTATTATGTAGTATTCATATTATTCAACTATTCAAATAAATATATTCTATCTTTAATTTGAATAAAAAACTCAGGGTAGATCCAATAATTGATTCTAGATTTTTATAAAAATGAACTGTAATATCTAAATCAAATTATTTGCAAATATTTTGAAATAATTTCTAATAAATATTTCTAGTGGATAGATGACCTTTTGATACTAACTTTTTGTTATATCATTCAGATTACCAAACTTTTGAGTATTTTTTAAAGAAGTTTAGAAAAGTATCCAAAATAACTATAAATAATATTTTGCAAATAAACTTAAAAATTTAAATGAAAAATTTAAATGAAAAATTTAAATAATTATTCATAGAAAATGCTGGCATGTATCGTAATATCTTGGGTGGCAATTTAGATTACATTGGAGTTGTTCTTATATAGCAATTATATTGTGGAATTGGTAACTGATTTTTAATGACGAGCCATTTGGATTAAGTATTTGTCAAATCATATTATATTAATTTTAAGAGAAAATAATATAAGCTTATTTTTAATTTTATAATATCGGCAATCTCTTCATTTGTCCAATTTACAAATATTTTGAATGAATCATGGTTTTAACTTGTTACAACCACCATCAAAGGATGTGAGAGCGAATTTTCCTACCTTATATTAATTATAAACTTTTTGTATATTCTATCTCTTTCATATTTTCTAATTAGAATTTAAACTATAATATATAAAAATAGTTTGAAAGCCTCAAACATAAATAAAAATCAATATGTAATACTTCAAATTATGCAACCAAGTAATTTGGTTTAATTACTTTTTGTAAGCGTTATTGGAATGACAAACATGCTAATCTATCAGTGATATTAAATAAACTTGGAATAAACACTTCTAATTTAATTAAATATGGTACTGTATTACATAAATATACTGTAAATATATAAATATAATATTTTTTTGAATACAAATAATAGACTGGATTGATAGCAACTTAAAAATCAACGCCAAAAAATTTCAAGATAAGATAAGCACCAGGTGTAAGCGTTCCGCTTTTAACTTATTAAACCATCTTTTGAATTCTCGACAATATATCTTCTGGAATTTTGCATCGCTCTGAAATATTCTTTGTAAAATATATTTCAAATTAATAACAATGTTTTATATGTTATAAATTATTTGTATTAACTTTATATTTAAAGATCTCCAGAAGAGATTTTATACCAAAATTCCAGAGATTTTTTTTTTAAACCCACAATCAGGCTGGCATCATTTATTTATTAAATAAATTTGTCAGTAGAAAATTGCTATGAAACTTGAATTCTACCAAAGTTTATCGGATAACTAGATCTTTGGCGGAGTTAAAATTCATATATTGAAGTCTAATAGTTAAAAAAAGATATTGATGGACATTTTATTCAATAAAAATAAAAATGATAATAGATAATAATAGTTTGTAGAATGTTTACCTTGAATAATGAGTTTTTTTTTTTGGTTGGCAGGTTTTTCAATTAAGATGTTTACTTGTATGCATAGTATATAGTGCGAATGGATATGTCTGTATTGCATAATATGCTGAAGAAATTGACTTTACATCTACACTTTCTTTAATTTTCCTAGTAAGCATTTAATACGGATAGCTCATATCTAACGTCGCGTATCTAAAATTTTTCACAATTTATGTGCATTAAATCGGTTCTGTGGTTTAGCATCTCAACATTTTTGCACCATGAAAATTACTAAATCATTTAAATTTAGGTAAAAGTCCATTTCAAATATTAATCCCCAAATACTGATCGTGCGGAACATCTCTAAAAGGGGGTGGTGCCAGATAATAGCTCAGGCATAAAGACCTCATATGCATAAACGTCTTCTGTCTTTGTGTACTCCTTTCCGCATAACACTTCGGCGCTACATATTGTTACGAATAATTCTGTGAGTCTATCATCAATGCACTAAAACTCCTAGCATAATGTGGCGTTCAGTCGACGAAATAACAAATAAGGTAGGTTCGTTTGACTTTGAGGCGTGTTTTGACTTGACCGGTCTTTACTTTAACTTCTCTATCGAATAATATAGAAACCTCTTGATTGTCAATTCCCTTAGGCAGACCTTGATTCTCAGACCTAGCCATGTAGTACAAGTTTCAAGCATTTTAGATCACGCGTGAAAACAAGGAAAGAATATATTTTAACGTACTTTTATTGTTAATCGCCAATATTGTTCAAATGTTATTGAATGGCGCATATATTTATACATGCGCCTATTATTTACATGCAAAATTGTTTTCTATTCTACTAGACGCTGGGAATCTTCGTCTCTAATTTTTTCTGCCGAATTTCTTACCTTAGTTCCCCGCAAACACGTCAACAGGCCGACGGAACGTGATACTGCGTTGCGCTCCTGTGCCACATTTATCTGTAACAATCCCATAGTACCGTTCTGAATAATATTAAAACACATATATTTTATTTAAGCAATGAAAAATCCGCTGACTTTATTTGGTATTTCCAGTAAAAAAATGTATTTGTCAATCTATTCCGCCAAATATACTTCGCTAAAACCACATTTGGCAAAAAATATACATAATTGAATTTTAAATACAGAATACACTCAAAAATTCTATATATACTAGTTGTCGTTAATTGTATTTTTTTTTATAAATGTATAAATATTATTGTTCCAAAATATCTGATTACGTATCTCATACAAAATAACCGTTTAATACAATTAAATATCATTTCATTTAATTTTGTAAAACCTCCCGGATTCAACTTACTCTTTATAAATGTTGACGTTGATATAGTTGAAACTTATTTTGTTGATTTTTATGAAAGAAAGTAAACCATAATATATTATACTTACAATATACAATATCAATTTTACAAGTTAGATAGCAATAACATCCCGGATTTTAACTAATTTCCTATAAGCATTAATAATACATTTACGTATTTGATTAAATATAATCTTATCCCGGACTTACTATCTACAATAGCAAAGAATAGAAACAAAATTAAGAAAGAAAAAATGTCATTAAATCTTATATCCTGGATTCAATTTATCCTATTAATATTTATTGATGCAAATAAATTTTATTTCATAAAATCTATGAAATAATGACAAAATTATCCTGAATTTAATTTACTATCTGCAATGATTAGAATAAAAGTACAATTACAGTATATTTTATTCCATATTATTTTAAATGTCCTTTATTTAATATATCACTATAAAAATTGACAATTAAAAATTTAAATCTCATATAACTGTATATGATCTTATGAACCAAATAAAGTTATATTGGATTCAACATACCGTAAAAGTGCAAAATAATGCCCATGAGCATTAATTCGAAATTTAAATTTTTAAAAAATTATGTTTTACTTAAAATAACGCCCATGGGTGTCCTGATATAATGCACATTTAGATATAAATATAAATTTCAATAATTTGATTTTTAAATTTTTTTTTAATGCTAAGTGAGGCCTTCCTTATGCTTTATTGATATAAGTAATTAATGTAATACATTTTACAAAATCAAAAAAAATGAGGTATATAACTATACATATTGGCCTGCCACCATAACAGATATATCATTTGAAAAATCTTGAAGCAAGGAAAACATGAGGAACTATCTATTAAAAAAATAAAAAATAAAAAAAACATTCAGGCAGGATTGTTATTGTGAAAGAATATGAGAAGTTTGGTAAAGAAAAAAAGTGTATATGTGGTGGAATTATCTATATGCTTTTCAAATGTATAATATCAAATGAGATATATAGTTAGTGTTTTGTAATAAGAAAAACATTTTAATGATAGTGTGTGGTGGAGTTCAGAGTATATTATCTTTTATCCAACAATCCCTTCCACAGGGCACAAATACAATGTGTTTACCTAGGTCCAAGACTTTCTTTTCAATAGTTGGGTGCAAATCCAACACAGTAGCAAAGTACTGGCATAAGCTGTCAGATTATGGAGCGCAACTCCCTGATATTTTACTTCCACTCAAAATAAGATTTCTTTTATTTACATTAATCAGGCTTTAGCTACCTTTTTTCTTTAATGGTAGCATTTTTGCTTGTGGAGTACAACTCCATTGTTAAAGATAATATAAGAATTTTGTGTGGTTGGACATTATGTTGTGTTATGGCTGTATCATCAGTATTTTGATTTTGATACTGCTGGAACCTATGCAGGCACACACTCTTCCAATTCGGCATTGTTGTGTTGTTTTGATTTTGATTTTGTGATACAAAATATAATTGGTGTATAATAGATTATAGATTTTTTGGAGAGGGTAAACTGATTTCAATTTTTTGTGTAAGGAAATTTTTGTTAGCAAGAACTAATGACTAGTCAAAGGATATAAAGAATCTTTCATCATTATCAATAAAAAACAAAAACTCTAAAAAAATAAAATACTGTCTCTTGTGTGTGTTTATATTTGAGTGTTGTTTGGTTGTATTTTAAAGATTGTGGTTAAGTTTGATGTGAAAGAAGCCTAAATGTGAAAAAGCTTTTTATTCATCTTTTAATAGCCAAGCTACAAAGGGAGGACAAAAGTTTCTGAACGGTTTTTTAAATTCCAATTTACTCATATTTCTGTGATTAAATATATGTTAAATAATATTCATATGCAGACTACTATATCGGAGGAATATAATTATATAATTATATATTAATCGATATAAAGTGAGTAAATTATTAAATTATGTTACTTTGTATCATATCGAAATACGATCTACACTACAATCAACGCTATATAAAGAAAAAGATTTGTTGCAATTTTTTTTTTTTTATTAAAAACTAATATTTAGTAATTTCACCTTTTGCTACAATTACTGCTTGAATACGTCTCGGCATACTATTAACTAAATTTTTAATCATACTTTGAGGAATTGCTTTTCATGCTTTTTTAACACACTTATCAAGTTCAGTAAGACTGGATGGCTGTTTTTTTTGCTTACGAATATCCCGCTTAACCAAAACCCACAAGTTCTCAATTGGATTGAGATCGGAGCTCTGGGCAGTCCAAGGCAACTTACGCAAACCTTTTTCTGTACAAAATTCGGTTGTGACCTTTGACGTGTGAGGACGAGCATTGTCTTCTTGAAACCAGCCATTACTCTTACCCTTAGAACTGTTACTCTTATCCTTAGAACCGTTACCCTTACCCTTAGAACCGTTATCCTTACCCTTAGAAAACATATATTTCATAGTCGGTACAACATATTTGCGAAAAACCTTTACATGAGAAATGCCAGTTGCCGTTTCAGACAATGGTACAAGTGGTCCTAATTTTTGTTGTGAGAAACAACCCCAATATATACGGTTGGGACTGTGCTTTACTGTGGCTGAAATGTATGAAAGAGACCATTCATCTTTTGGCTCATGCTATACTCTGCTGCAGCGACTTTGTTGAAATTGAATAAAGGTCGATTCATCGCTCCACAATACCTTTGCCCAATCTTTCTTTGTCCAGTTTGTATGATCTAAACACCATGCTAATCATGCCTTTTTGTTGGCTGGTGTAAGGAGTGGATTTCGTCACGCCACGCAATTTCTCAATCCAAGTGAGTAAAGTGAACACCTCAAGATACATGTAGAAACAAGCTAACCTTTTTTTTTTCCAAAGCATTTGGATTCCAGTTTTACAAAGCCATCGATTCTTTATTACCATTCGTTTAAGCTGTTTAAGTTGAGGGATTTCGAATGAACGTGGTCTGCCAGCACGTGTCTTGGACTCTGTTGATCCTGTTTCAGCATACTGCTTTAAAGTATCACAAACTGTAGATAAATCACAATTGACATTTTTGGCAATAGTGCGATATGAATCCCACGTTGTGATCGTAAAGTATAGCTTCATGTTGAATTGCGGTTAATTCTTGCTTACATCCCATTGTGTTTCAGAATAATTGTTTTTATGAACAACCATAATAAAAATTTATTTATAAATACCTGATCGCGTTTAGACAACACAGACTGTTTTATTATAATTTACATATACAATATGTATAGTATGTATATGTATAACATAAAAATAGAAAAAAAAAATTTTTCGAAGAACTTTAGCGATCATATTGCAATTTAATTTATAAAGGCTGATCGTATAAAATA